GACGAGTGCAACAAAGGGTGCATTAAGGCATGGCCCAATCGTCATACCCGAGGAGAGTGTTATCGGGATTGTCCTATATGTTCTCTCGATTGTTATTGTCGTCATGATTGTTAGCTATTGTTGGTGAACTTTCGTTTATAAATAAATAAATAAATGATATATATTTAAATGATACATATTTAAATTTTTAGGTTTAACGGTCATTTAAATATTTTAATAGCTATTGTTGATAGCTAAATTTTCTCACAACTATTGCAATTAATATACGAAGCTTAATATATATTGGAAGTGGCTTCGAATTAATCTCATTTTTGTTTGCTTGTTTTAATTATACTTTCTCTTCCTTTTAAATATTTACAATTAAAAATAAATTAAAATAATAGTATTATTATGAGAAAAAAAATCAATAATGGCCCTCATAAAAATAAAAATAATTAATTTTGGTCTTATTATTATTATATATATATATGTTTTTACTAGCATTTAAATTCGTATTATGCACAAAATTATTATATATAAATTAAAATTTTATATTATTTTTATCTGATTTTATAAATATTTAAAATAAATTATATATATATCTTTAGCTAATATAGAAATTTATACTACTCAACTATATTAGTTATCTATTTTCTAGAAATTGTCCAATGTTTTACATTTTTATTTCAAATGTTAAAACAATATAAATTATTAATTATAAAAATATTTAAAAGATTATTAAACTCCTTTTATTTAAAATTAAATAAATTTGTATATAAAATTATTAAAAAAGTATTTAAATTTTTAAAAATTAACTAAAATTATTTAGAATTCTCAATATATATGCTATATAAAGTAAACAAAAAGAAAAATTAGTTTTTATCAAGTTTATTTTATTAATACCGTCAAAATTGTACTTTTAAAAAAATTTAAGATAAATATATATAAAGAAAATAATTTAAATTTTTTAATTAATATATATATATGTGTTATCTTCTAACAAATACTAAAATCATATAAATAATATTTAAAAATATTTTAAGTATTTCTCGTATTTATAGGCAACAACTTCGTACAAATATTATAAAGTAATTATAATTTTATTATATTCATATGATTTTTACTTTTTGTATTTGCATCGTTTTCTTCATTATAATACTGAAAGCATAAGTAAATAAAAAAAATAATAACAAAAATCAATTATAAATACAATAATATCATATTGCATACATTTAATATATATTTCTTTTATATAAAATGAGTGATACAAATATATACAAAAGAAATTAAAAATAAGAATCTTAAATTTTAAAATGATTTATTTATAAAATAAATACTTATCTTTGATGATGAAAATTTGCTTCGGGGAACAACAATTTTTTGAAAATATTGAATAACACAACAGTCATTTTCAACAATAATAATAATTTTTTAATTTTAAATATATGCAAGATAAATTTAAAATAAAAACCATAAATTTAAAATGATTTATTTATAAAAAGAAATACTTATCTTTGATGATTGAAATTTGCTTCACAACAATTTTTCCGAAAAATATCAAATCAACCAACAATTTTTTTCAACAATAATAGTAAATTTTAATTTTGCTCCAACAAAAAAAAAAGGAATAATAAGAATCTATTCATATAATATAGAAAAAAAATATTAAAAAGAAATTAAAATATAAATTAAAAAAAAAATCCAAAATAAAACTTAGAATAAATATATATATATTTTTTGTAAGAATGCATGAATTGAGATTGTCTCTAATACCATCCAGAATCTAAATTGTAATCTTCTTCCACTGCATCAAATATAAGATCGAGAATACAACAATATTAAGTAGTGAAAATTAATCAAATAAATTTAAATAGACAAAAAAAAAAAAAAACTAAAATTGTAATAAAAAATTGAAAGACATGCAAAATCAAGAATTAAAATTATTAAATAAATAGAACCTTAATCAAACAAATTGTAATTGGATTAGAAAAAATCAAATACATTTTTTTATAAAAACTGCATAAAAAATAAACTTACATTTATTTACTATAATCAAATTTTACAAATATATATATATATATTTTAATTTATTTTATAATTTGTTGATGCCATTTATTGATTTTATTTTTTTTTAGATTTTTTTTATTTTCTAAATTATTTATTTATTTATTTTTTCCTGCACAATTGTTTGTTTGGGGGTTTGGATTTTGAATTAAAATTTAAATAGTAAAAATTTTGAATTTGAATAGTTACATGTGATATAAATAGATGTTGATGTGATGTTTTAAATGTAAAATTGATTTTTAGCATAATATAAAAAATAAAAAATAAGTGTTTGATTTGATATTTTTGAAGAAAAATTGAATAAATAGTGTAAATTCAATCCCCCAAACAAACACACCCTGTATCTGAACAAGAGGTTTAAAATTGAGATCCAAGTTGTTTGTCCGAAAAGTAGGTCACTATTTTTTGTTGGAGAAATAAATTGAAAATTTTGTTTATTTGATTTTCTTATTTTTAATTTTTTTAAAGGCTTGTTAATTTATTTCAACGGCCTAATTTATTTATTTTTTTCACGAGATTATATTCACTGCAGTCGGAGAATATTTTTGTTTGAATTCTGAAAAATGTTCGATGGAATAATCTATTGTTGTTGTGTCTACCGTTGGCATCATCTTTGAAGTTGCTAAATTTCAAAAAAAAAAAAAAAAAAATACGACAAGTTTTTTTATTTGTGTTTGAGAAATTAATTTGAAATATTTTTCAAAGATTTCGATATGGATAATTTGAGAATGAATAGTGTGCTGATAAAATTATTGCTGAATTGTGCTGAATAACTTATGATATACTTCATCCGTCCAATTATAAAGTATACATATTTCTATTTTTTAATGTCCATTTACAAAATAATCATTTCATTAAATACTCACTTTTTTCACAAATACTCTTGCTTTATATCACATCATTACTTTTATACCAAAAAAATAAGAACAAATTAAAAATAACATTACACTACTTTTACCTGCCCACTATAATTAAAATACTATTATTTTTTAAACTCCGCGTCAAAAATAAATGTATACTTTTTATTTGAACGGAGGAAGTAATATTTTAATTTTTACCATTAAATTTTATAATTAATATAATTATAATTTAAGCCATTCAGTGCTAAATTTGAATTTTGCACTTGATCCATGGTGAGGAATAATTTTATTAAATATATTGTTAATAATTTAAACCTAATTTATATATGTATATTACTCTCCCATTTTTAAAACTATAAATCCTATTTATGTTGGACACAATATTTAAGGAATAATGATATTGTATTGATAATTGATAAAAAAGCACGAGTAAAAGCCTTTTTGCCATTGTAGTTGTATTAGTATAAAAAAATAGTGATATTTGTGTAATAATAATAAAAAAGTAGGTTAAATTTATATTTATATAATAATAATAAAATAGGGTAAATTTTTATTTGTGTAATAATAATAAAAAATAGGATAAGTTTTTTGGTAATAAGAGTATTTATAGAAATAATACTATTGTTTTGGGATGGACAAAAAATGATAAACAAGACTATTGTATCGAGATAGAAGAAGTACTACTTAATTAAAAAGATTTACACATAAAAATATGAGTTATGATATATTCTTTGTTATCTTTCTGAATAATTTAATTAATAAAGAAATAGTAACAAATATCGACAATATCTAATTATTTTTATTTTTTATTTAAATAATAATTTAAACATGATATTCCGTAATAAATAAATAAATAATGTGTCTTTAATTATGAATTGAATTGTTGTATAATTAAAATTACAGCTCATTTAATCAATGTGTTTTATTTTTTTTTAGAAAATTACAACTATAACAAAAATTTGAAACTAATCAATAAAGGTTCAAATTAGAAAATTAATTTAAACCTACAAAGTGCTAGGAAGAAAATTACCCATTATTTGATTATTTTTTATTTTAAAAATTATATAAAATACTATTATTTATATAAATTTTATATTCTAATAAAGCAATCCAGACATAGCACGGAGTATGGGTTGATTATAAAAAAAAATCATCATTTTTTATTTTATTATTAAAAAAGTTTAATCATTTTTTATCTCATTGTTAAAAAAATTAACTGATGTGACATCTGAATAGAATTATTTTTGTTTTTATTTTGTAGAATTATTAATTTTTTTCCTATTATTATCGATAATAATACATATAAAAAATCTTTTAAATTCAAACAAAATCCATAAATCTAAAGGTAAACAAAAATCAAAACTCACATAAAAATTCAAATTCAAATTCAATTTTTACGAACTTTTTCAAAAGAATACACCCTTAATGTAGAATGAATATACATATATTTGTTATTTTATACAGTAAAGTTGTCTGTTTCAAAATAAACAAAGTTACTATTGTATCTAGCATAATAAATATCATTTAAACTTACAATATATTTCTCTGTCCCATAACTATGTATCCGTTTGCTTTTTATACTGAATTTTAGAAATATTAGTATTAGAATGTAATAAGAATAAAATAAAAATGACTAAAATAACCTTAGTATTATGTGATATAAATGTAACTACATTTGTGTAATATATTGTAAGTTGTAAGGGTATGTGTAATATTAGATAGATAATACAGTTACTAAAAAAAAAATATATACTTTATTATAAGACATACTAAAATGGAAAAATAGATATTTGTTAAGATGAGATGGAGAAAGTATTATACAATACTAATACTAATAAGAGTATTTTTATTTTTATTTTTTACTTACAATCTAAAATAATACTAATGTTAAAAAATCTATTTGAAAAAATAAACGTCACTCTTTCGATAAAAGCTAAGGAGCAAATTAATATCACTGGCGGTTCACCGTAACAGGAGATTCAGAAACCGGAACCAAACCGTCAAATCTAAACTAAAACTGTGTTCCGGAACCGGCCGGTTCGAACGGTTTGGCATGTCTAACCAGAGGGTGTGAAATTCAAGTAATCTACACTTTCTTCAAGGGGAAGACTCTGGTTTCATGATTGGAGGGAGCTAAGGTATGTGAACACACAGGCTTCTTATCCCGGGAATGTTTCATTGATCGTGTATCGGCGGTGTAGCCTTGTTTGCAAGTTCTATCTTTTTGTTTGGTTTTCCAAGTTACATCGTAGATTACTTGCTGTTCCTCTACGACCAATTCAGGTAAACATGGTTGTCTCAGTTACTTATGTTAGGGTTATTTCTGTATCTTGTTAATTTATGGTGGAATTTCATAGAAATTTTGATTACTCTGGTTGAATTTTCGGCGTGCGGTCGATCGGCCTTGTTAGGAAGTCCTGCACCTAGTATACGTTGTTCGTGTTTGTCATTAGAATTCGACTCGACCAAATAGTATAAGTTGATTCCGGCTCTCAAAGGCTGAAACATTGCCAAGAATCATTTGGGGATCTCCAGTGACTGACTAAAAGGCCTCACTGAAAATAGGTCGCCAAGCACAACATCAATTAGGAAGACAGATAAGGGGAATCTCCAATGGTTTCCCAGATCACATTCCTTGAATTGAATTGAATTAGGAAGCCTACTCATCCATCAGCTGCTCCCAGCTATGCAATGGTCAGTGGTCTGCACCTTGAATTATTAGCAGTAGTCGAGCAATAGATCAATTTCCGGGAAGGAAGTTGTAATAACAGAGTTTGAGAGGAGATGATCAAAGATGCAATGAATTCAGTTTACTGTTTGAGACTGAAAGTTTGGGATTATGAATATAGATATGCAATGAAGTTAAGTAAACCAATGGAATTGGAAAATGAGAGCAATGGAGTAAAGTTTGGTTTGGTCAGCAACTTCAAAATAGTAAAATAAGTCAAGGGTTTGTTTGTCATGTTCTAGACGTTACCATTACCTATGCCAGAGTTAAGTCATGTAATTAGGATTTACAGGGTTGGATATCTACTTAGACGTGCAAATCTAGCTTTTGTTGCTAATTCAGTGTTTTAGTCCAAATCACACATGGGCTGGAGACTAATTATAGGTTAGCCAAATAGCTTTGGGTCTGTGCAAATTTTCTTATATTTAGGTCTTATTTCAACCTGATCACATTCCCTATTTATAGTGAAAGCTCTAGAGAAAACAGAATTGCAAGATACAATTGGTAGTCCTGCAGATCTGCTGGGGAGAGTTCACTCAAGATGTATATTGTTCATCAATGCAATTCATAATGTTCCCAGGAAATATGCTAAAGATTAGAAACCCATGACGAAAATTTTCCAACTGAATAGACTGCAAACTAGAATTCGGTACTCACCAAATATTATTCGGCTCAGTAGACAGAATTTGGTAAACAACAGCCTCAGCAAGAGCATAACCCTTCAGGGGAATTTGCGCTGTTACAGATGTTGAGCACAGCTCTTCATCTTGATGGTACATTGTTTCTGTTTTGAATACTGAAGTAGCTCTAGAATCATAAGTTCTCTAACTTTGACAATTTTTATAGTCTTAGCATAGGGTCTAGTTACAGTTGAACCCTTTTTTGGATCTTTATTGAATGCAATAGGCAGACTCTTTTTTCTGTTAGAAATTCTCTTCTAGATAATTAATTCACAGATTAAGCGCTGCATACTTTATGCTTATAGACAATCATTTCTATATGCTGTTAATAAAAAGAAAGATATTCTGGATAGTAAGATTTTTATTAACAAATTTGGAAAGTAAATCATTAACTATATGGTTCTCGCGAATAAAGCAAAGCAATTAAGAAATTTTATCCAAACTATGTGCAAATTTGCAACTGGTGCATCTTTCCTCCTTTGGTGCTGATATCCTATAAAAGTTTCGACACCAAACAATAGAGTGGTTTGCTAATTGCTTCATCTTTCAGGATTAATCTTGTGGGAATGACTCCAAGTGGTCATAGAGTGGAAGTTAAGAATCTGTCACATAATGCAACTGAGAAGGACCTCTATGATTTCTTTTCCTTCTGTGGTGCAATTCAACACGTTGAAATTATAAGGTACTTTCCAGCTAATAAGACTACAATTCTTATTTCATATGAATTGTGTTCAAATTCATAGTTGAAAAAGGATTTACCTAATGTATCTATTCAAGTTATTCCCCAATCACTAGAGATATGTTTCCCTAGTATATATGTCTATCATTGATACCAAATCCATGTTCTGGGAATTTTTTTGCACATGAACTTTGTGATGTTCATGACTCTTTTAAAATAATTTGACCTGATTTCTTTCTTGTTTCTAATGTTCTATATTGCGGAAAAACAGAGCTGCTGAACATGCTTGTACTGCCTATGTAACTTTCAAAAATTCGCATGCTGCGGAAACTGCTGTTTTGATCAGTGTAAGTGATGGATTTAATGGTTTGAATGCAAAAATAGGTTTGGATATAATGTTTTTTGATGTGAAAATAGATTTCATATTGATTGCATTGTGTTAGAAGATTGCATGAATTAGGGACACAAGCACAAACAATTGAACACACAGTAAATTACTTTTCGGTAAAGTTATGTGGATCATGATGTGGATCATGATTCATGTCTCAACACCATTTGTATCCTGTTTGGTGCTTAAAATTTGAACTGTGTTAGAAACCACTTTTGTTGCATATATTGAATGTTGCTTTGATTTCAAAGTTTCTGATTCCAGTTCAAGAAAGTTTGATTCCAACTTATTTAAGACTTCTATGTGTTCTTGGAATTTTTTATTTTTTGGTTAGTATTGCCATGCATAAAAATTTCCCGGATGTGTTCCTTGTGATTATCGACATATTTTATTGCGATATATATGCTTTTTCCTTTTTCAATCACTCTCATTTCACCCTTATTACTTGTTATTTCTTAGTTTAACTAGTCGAAGTCTAATGGTGATTTTAGGGTACTAACATATTGGATCAACCTGTATCCGTAACCTACTTGGGATATCATGAAGATGATCACAATCCCTGGAATCATTATTCATGGAAGATCGAAGATGAAAGCAGCTTTTCTAATGTAAATGCATATTTATTCCCTGTCCAGTTGCTACATTCTGTGATCTTCTGGTTCTCTGGTTCCAATTAACAAGTTATTCCCTGCTCCCTATTCATTGTTCTTCATCTTTACAGCAGCAGCAGTCTCAAGGATGCAAAGGTGCTTCATCAGCTGGCGGAGCCATGTCTTTGGCTCAAAACGTGGTCAAAACAGCAGTTTCTAAAGGGTACATGCTCGGAAAAGGCGCATTCAACAGAGCTAAAGCATTCGATGATTCTCATCAAGTATCGGCCACTGCAGCATCCAAGATTACTAACGTGAGCGACAGGATCGGTTTGACTGATAAGATATTTTACGGCGTCGAAGCTGCCAGATCCGTCAACCAAAAATACCGCATTTCAGATACAACAAAGTCAGCCGTCTCGGCTACTGGTAGAACTGCAGTTTCAGCAGCAAACACGGTGGCAAGCAGCACCTACTTTTCTAGGGGAGCCCTTTGGATATCTGGCGCCCTAAACCGAGCATCTCTAGCTGCTGCCGAGCTCGGCAGCCGTGGTGCTAACAAATAGGTTAGTTCAGCCAAGAAAGATTCAGTTATATTCAGCACATTCGTTTATATAGATAATAACACGTAGTTGTGCTGTATAAATGTACTAATTGTGATGAATTAAGTATAGATGGTGTTACTTTTTTTTTTTTTTTTTATTATAATATGCGAAGACAGTTCAAATATTGCATTTGTATTATATTAATATATTTGCTCATTTCATAACAAGGGTTTCATTTTTCATTTTCACCCGTCTCAAAACAAGGGTACTATTTCAAAATTTAGTAATTGTATTACCTATCTAACATAATAAATATCCACACAAATGTCACCGCACAATACTAATAAGGGTATTTTTATTTTTTTTACTACAATTCAATATAATACTAATATTAAAAAATTTACGTGCAAAAAAAGCAAACGTTACTCTGTGTATGGAACGGATGGAGTAGTAAAATTGATAGTTGAGTAAGAATAGTGTCATACAAAAATTATGTAACCCACAATGTTCAGTTTGTATTTATAGTTTGTGATTGTGCCGTGCCGACTGACTCTTTAGAATGTGTAGTGAATATAAAAACAAAAGACCATTATTAATTTGTGCGTGGGATTGCTAGTCGGATTGTCGTCACAAAAATTAATTTGCACAAATGGACATAGAAAAAACACACACCAGATCTCAGTATCCTGATGCTGGGTCTCCTATCACATATGCATAAATTCGAATTCTAACTTAAATTCAATTAATATTAAGTAAAAAAATTGATATTAAAAAAGAGTTTTCAAAGTTGGGATGTCTTAAGTATTGAGTTATAGTAAAAATACTATAGCAATTATAATTGGAATGTCTCATAAATAATGCTAAAATAATATCTAAAATAGAATATTTAAAAAATATTCTCTTTGAAGTAAAAAATAAAGTAGTGGATTACAGTGAAAATACTGTAGCCATTATTATTTTACACACAAAAAAATAATTGTCATATATATTATCCATCAAATTAGTGCTTAATTTTTAAAAATATATTTACATAAATTTTATTTTATATTAAAATATTAATTTTTCAACAAATATTTTTATTTTAAACATAAAGTTTATCTTTATTTAAAACTGTACGTTACTATTTCCAAATAAGGATAAAAAGAAAACATAATTAGTTAAGAATTGTAGTATTTTTTTCAAATAAAAATTAAATAAATAGCCTTACAAATAAAGTCAATATGTAAATTTAAAAGAAAAACAATATATACATACATTAATCTTAACATAAATAGTTTAAGGTGTCTTTGTTTGGGAATTTTGGAGAAGTTATATTAATGCTCCAAAAAGATTTTCTAAAAAACATTTCATCAAATAGTTATTTTTTTCATAACCTCTAACACATATTTATATAACAGGGACAAAGCTAGTCAAAATCAAAACTCGAAATCCAAGCCTACAACCAAACACACCCCTTGTTGTCGTAATTTCTTTTCGAAATTAAAATGATTGTGAATGCGATGACAAACTTTCCAAACAAAATATATAACAAGGACAAAGCTACATTAGTATTTACTACTACAATAACAATAGTTGGTTCCATTTTATATAAAAAAATGTATAGATAGAGACAGGATGAAAACAACCCCCAAGGTTTAGGCTGAGAATCTCTTGTTGACTCAACAATACAACAAAGTAAAGCAAAAACAATAATTAAAAAATAAAAGCAGCGAAAACTAGCCAATATGAATAATAATAATAAAAAATAATAATAATATTAAGAGTTGTCAACTAATCTTAATCTACACACGAGCTCACTCGCTCACGTGGTATGCCGAGCTTATCCTTCGTAGCTGATATCTTGGCTGTAGCATAGAAGGTATGCTCCGCAGCACATTCTTCAACTCTTGCCCAATATACGAATATTTATTACAAAAAAAGTGTCGTAATGAGGTTAGGAAGATTGGACAAAAACATAGACTCCAATGTCGTATAGTTATAGTTGCAAACAATGGACACTAAAATGACAAACATTCCCAACAAGGTATGACGAGTTAGCAAGCAAACAACAAACCAGATATTTTGATGACCGCTAAAACGGAAGCACATAAAATAAGAAAGTAAAATAAAGGAAAAACATAGCATAATTAGCTAAATAAAGTAATTGAAATTAGAAGCCAACAAAAACGCCCATAGAAAGCAAAGGCGCACGAAATACACCCAGACAAATTTTAAAACCACGAACAAAGTGGTGATACACAATTATTATGCTGGAAAATAAAGGAAAAAGAAAAACCATACCAAAATTAGGTTAAATATAAGTTCTTGAAATTAGAAGCCAATAAAAAAGCCCATAGGAAAGTAAATGTAAAGAAAACAAATAAGCGCACGAAATACGTCCGGAAAAATTTTAAAACCACCATCAAAGTGGTGATAATCAAGGATATGAAAAACACCCGTAGAATGTAAAGGTAAACAAATAAGCAAATGAAACATGCCCGGAAAAATATCCCAGAGCCGACGTGAATATCAGTCATACCAGCAAGGACGGAGTGGTCAAGGAGCATGACATCCTACCACACCAAGAAGCCTATCAAAGGGACCATTTACGGTGATCATCGATGATAAATACACAAATATTATGTAGGAAAAAATGAAAAAACAGATCATATTTAGCTAAAATATAAGTACGTGAAATTGAAAGCCCATAAATACACCCATACGATGTAAAGGCAAACAAATAAGCGCACGAGATACATCCGGACAAATTTTGAAACCACAATCAAAATGGTGATTATTGATAATAAATACACAAATATTATGTGAAAAATTATTGAAAAAATATAACATAATTAGCTTAATATAAGTACTTGAAATTAAAAGCCCACAAATAGACCCATAGAATGGAAAGGTTAACAAACAAGCGCACGAAATACGACCGGACAAATTTTGGAACTACAAGCAAATTAATGATCATGAATGATATATACTCAAATATTGCAGATCAACACAAATGAAATAACTTTCATTATATGTCATAAAAAATGTAATAATAAAAAGTGTGAAAAATATGAACACAATAATCTTATATATACACATGAGACCTAAAGCACACAAAACACACCATAGAAAATAGATATTAGAAAACAAGTGCATGAAACATGTCCGCTCAATTTGTAATGATCATTATATAGATACTAATATTCAATGAGTCGTTAATAAAAAGTTTTTAAAGAGTATAGAGATGAAATAGACACTTGTAGTCTTTTGAGCCTTTCGTTCTCCTTCTCAAGACGTGAAACTTTGTTCTTCAATTCATTGGTGTAGGCCTGTGCATCACAGACAAACAACATAACGGCAATAGTTAGGTGAAAAAACCAAAAATAAAATAAAATTTGAGGGGCATCAAAATTCACCTTCTTTCTTGATCGTGATCTTGCAGCAGATTTCCGGTTCTTGATCATTCTCTTCAGCCTCTTGAAGAATTTATATTAATGCTGAAAAAATATTTCCTAAAAAATGTATAATCAAACAATTATTTTTTTCATAACGTCTAACACATATTTATATAACAGGGAGAAAGCTAGTCAAAATCAAAACTTGAAATCCAAGCCTACACACAAACACACCCCTTGCTGTCGTAATTTCTTTTCGAAATTAAAATGATTGTGAATGCGATGGCAAACTTTCCAAACAAAATATATAACAAGGACAAAGCTACATTAGTATTTACTACTACAAATAACAATAGTTGGTTCCATTCTAAAAAAATGTACAGACAGAGAAAGGAAGAAAACAACCCCCCAAGGTTTGGCACGTAAATCTCTTGTCGACTCAACAATACAACAACGCAAAGCAAAAACACGTTAAAAAAAAAAATGCAGCGAAATCTAGCCAGTATGAATAATAATAATAATAATAATAATAATAATAATAATAATAATAATAATAATAATAATAATAATATTAAGAGTTGCCAACTAATTTTAATCAACACACGAGCTCACTCGCTCACATGGGATGCCGAGCTTGTCCTTCGCAGTTGATCTTGACTTCTGCGTAGAAGGTATGCTCGGCGGCACGTTCTTCAACTCTTGCCCAATATACGAATATTTATTACGAAAAGAGTGTTGTAATAAGGGTATCGGTTAGGAACATTGGACACAAACATAGACTACAATGTCTTATAACCACAGTTGCAAACAATGGACACTAAAATGGCAAACATTCCCAAAAGGGTACGACGAGTTAGCAAGCAAACAACAAACCAGATATTTTGTTGACCGCTAAAACGGAAGCACACAAAGTGAGGCAGAAAAATTAAAGGAGAAACGGAGCATAATTAGCTAAATATAAGAGTTGAAATTAGATGCCAACAAAAGCGCCCATAGAAAGCAAAGGTAAACAAGTAAGCGCACGAAATACGCCCGAAAAAATTTTAAAACCATAAACAAAGTAGTGATACACAAATATTATGCTAGAAAATAAAGGAAAAAAAAAAACCAGACCATAGTTAGCTTAAATCTAAGTACTTGAAATTAGAAGCCAACAAAAGAGCCCATAGGAAAATATAGGTATAGAAAACAAATAAGCGCACGAAATATGTCCGGACAAATTTTAAAACCACAATCAAAGTGGTGATAACCAAGGATATTTAAAACACCCGTAGAATGTAAAGGTAAACAAATAAGCACATGAAGCACGCCCGGAAAAATGTCTCAGAGCCGACGTGAATATCAATCATACCAGCAAGGACGGAGTGGTCAAGGAGCATCACATCCTACCACACCAAGAAGCCTATCAAAGGGGACCGTTTATGGTGATCATCGATGATAAATACACAAATATTATGTGAGAAAAAAATAGAAAACATGTCATATTTAGCTTAAATATAAGTACGTGAAATTAAAAGCCAATAAATACACCCATAGGATGTAAAGACAAACAAATAAGCGCACGAGATAAGCCCGGACAAATTTTGTAACCACAATCAAAATGGTGATTACTGATAATAAATACACAAACATTATGTGGGAAAATAATGGAAAAACATAGCATAATTAGCTTAATATAAGTAGTTGAAATTAAAAGTCCACAAATACACCCGTAGAATGGAAAGGTTAACAAATTAACACACGAAATATGCCCGGACAAATTTTGGAACCACAAGAAAATGGATGATTATGAATGAT